GGTCCTAAAACTTCTTAATCTCTCTTCCATATGCTGTGACTCTCTCTCCACATCAGAGTGATGACGTTTATTAGAAGTATAAACTCATCACTCTCCTGGCCAGTCCTACCAATGGTTTCCCATTGCACTTATAAGAAAGATCCTGTTTCTTTAACGGAATCTACAAGAACCCGGGTGACCTGTCCTTGTGCTAGTGTGAACTCTTTAGGTGACCTTCTCTGATTTCTATGCTGCAGATACATTGTGCTCCTTTGACTTCTACAAATGTTCCAAGCAGTTCTGCATCTCTAAGAGCTTCCTGTGATCTCTGCTTCCTTAAATTCCCCCTCCTTCTTACACTGCCCACTTAGGCTTCAAGTCTGCTTCAATAACAAACCTCTGATATACTGGTTCTTACCCCCACATGGCAATAGAGTGTGGCTTGTTACATATAAATCCAGATGAAATGCAAGCCTTTATTTTTTTGTCTTCTTTCAGGACAATATGTAATGAGGCACAGTGTTGGTGTAAAAGTCATGATCATCAATACCTAGCAAAAGGTCCCCAGAACACAAATATTTGTTAAGTAGGAGAATACTGCTTACATTAAACTACTTTAGCTAAAGACTAAAATTACTTTCCTGAACTGTTTCTTTTGTTACTATGATTCCAATTAATTATAGCCTATAACTGAAAATTATTACAGTGGCAGATCCAAAGTGAGACTTTCATTCTCTTTTGTGACACTACAAATTATGGAAACAGTAGTTCTAGGATAATGCATCCCGGCTGAAGAATGATGATTGGAGAGGTAGTCTGGTGTTTTCTACGCCTTCAACCAAATAAAAGGTTGTCACAACAGAAACAGAAATTTAAATGACAATAGAAGAAGATGAGGCACTGATATCATCGGAACAGTCAGGACATATGACAAATCAGAAGCTGGAGAATCCAGAGAGGAAAAAGTATTTGGAATATTAACACATCTCTTTTCTTATTACAAATTCCCATGCTTCAGAAGAAAATACCATCTGGAGCATAAAGTTGCAAAAGCTCTTTCCTTTTAAAAAAGTTTTCTGACCCTAACAAGAAAGCATGTGTGTTTCCTTCAGAGGTTCTTACTTCTGCCAAATTACTCTGGAAGTGTTTGAAAAAAATATTTTTCATATGCTCTACATAACTAATCATCAGGGAGCTTCAGATCAAAACAATGAGATATCATCTCACACCACAGAGACCGGCCCACATCCAAAAGAACAAAAGCAACCCATGTTGGCGTGGATGTGGCGAGAAAGGGACCCACCTTCACTGCTGGTGGGAATGCTGACTGGTTCAGTCCTTTTGGAAAACAGTATGGATGATTCTCAAGAAAATAGAAATTGAGCTCTCATTTGACCCAGCAGTACCACTCCTGGGAATATATCCCAGAGAAGCAAAAAAGTAGAGTCAAAATGACATCTGCACTTCTATGATTATTGCTGCACTGTTCACAATAGCAAAAATTTGGAAAAAACCTTCGTGCCCAAGAACAGATGACTGGGTAAAGAAACTTTGGTACATCTACACAATGGAATACTACACAGCTGTTAGAAAAGATGATGTTATAAAATTTACATACAAGTGGTTCTACATGGAAAGTTTCATGCTAAGTGAAATGGTCCAGAAAGAGAGGGACAGACATAGAAAGATTGCATTCATCTGGGGAATATAAAGTAACAGAATGGGAGTCAAACACCCAAGAATCATTGAGATAAGTACCAGTAGGTATGATAACAGCTTGGAAGCCGGCAGCACGTGCTGGATGAAAAGGCAGCTCAGATAGAGAAGGGAACACCAAGTAAAGGATGTTTGGAGGACTCGCTCAGGATGCGAGATGCGTGCTGACAGTAGACTATAGACCGAACACGATGGCCACTCAATACCTCTATTGCAAACTACAACACCCTAAAAGAAAGAGTGAGCAAAAGGGAATGCTCTGCAACAGAGGCAAGGTGGGGTGGTGGGGATGGGGTGGGGGGTGAGAGGGCTACTGTGATCACTGGTGGTGGAGAATGGGCACTGGTGGAGGGGTGGGTATTTGATCATTTTATGACCAAAACCCAAGCATGAAAGTTTGTAAGTCTACAACTGTACCTCGTGGTGTTTCACTGATAAAAAAATACTGTATACCTAAAATCCAACTATCAATAACTTTGTAAAACATGGTTAATTAAAAATTTTAATTATCCCCCAAAATTAAATAAATCGCCAGTGTTTTTAAGTGCTTTATTTTTTCAGACAGTCTTGCTTATGTAAAAAGTAATTGTTTTATTATACCCTCATTGAAATAAATGTGTAGGAAAATAAAAGTAAAAAAAATAGTTTTCAGTCAACCAAGTGCAAAAACGCTAACCCCTAGGAATGGAAGTTATCTTATATATGGATTATGGTATTGATAGAAGTCCATGTTTAAGTACATATATGTGTGCTGATAGTACCAGAAGACACAGAATATATATCCATAGGTCTCAAAAACTTGTGGTCTCTATGCTAAGAAATACCGCTATTGCATGTTAAGATGATAGCTAGTAAGTAAATGAGAATAGTATTTAACTCTTAACGTTCCTACTACATGCTAATGAGTTAATAAACAGTGTGGGCTAAAATATCACTTTTGACCATATTCTTATCTGTACTGCACTGTAGCACTGTCCTCCCACTGTTCATCAATTTGCTTGAGCGGGCACCAGTAATGTCTCCATTGTGTGACTTGTTGTTACTATTTTTGGCATATCGAATATGTCAGGGTAGCTGCCAGGCTTTACCATGCGGGCGAGATACTTTCAGTAGCTTGCCAGGCTCTCTGAGAGGCGCTGAGGAATCGAACCTGGGTCAGCCAGGTTCAAGGCAGATGCCCTACCCACTGTGCTATTGCTCCAGCCCCTTATCGGGACTATAAGAACTATACAAATTATGTACCAGATATTAATTAATGAAGGAAAAATAAGTGGAAACAAGTAAAATGTCATCAGTTGTGAGAGACTGAATAGACTATGATAACAGAATACAAAACAGTAGAAAAATAGTACTATTTTCTAAAAAAATAAACCACACAAAATAGCTTTATATTTTGCATGGGAAAACAAAATATATGTCCAAGGTTTTTTTAATTTACATTTTTATTAATGTTTGTTGTGGACATGGTTTGCAATATTTTCATAAAATGTGCGATGTCACTTTGTTCCTTGAGCAAAAGAGAAAGTTGCTTGGTTTCATTTAACCTTTACAAATGTTAATGATGAATTTTTCTAAAAAATGCACCCAAACACATTGATGCTGTGGAAATACCAAATAAAGTTCTTTAGTTATAATAATGCATTTTCTAACTTTTCATTTTATTTTCATTGAAACAAAACTTTACTTTCATATCATTACTCATTTTTCCCTCCTCCTTTTCAAATAGATTGACACTAATAATTATAGTATTGTATTATTATTGGTAATAGTAATTAGATTATCTATAAAGTGAAAGCCATGTCATGCTGACAAACAGAAGTCTCATCTCAGGATGATTTACTACAGTTCCTAGTAAGCTTAGCTCAACCTACCAGCAAAATGAAAGCAAAACAATGTAGAGCACATTCCACAGTGACAACAGAAAACCTACAGCCTCTCTGTGCCCGAACATTCATACTCTTAATTTCAGGAGTGTATTTTTAGTATCTAGTAATCTAGAAAAAGGTAAGAGGTGAAGAAGTCAGAAAATAAAGTATAAAAATATAGTGTGGAACTCTAGCTATCTGTAATACCTATAAAACATATAGAGGAGCTCATTTGCATTCCAATAACACCTGTGACATTTAGACACCTTTCCAGAACTCCTGCTTCCAATCTCTGCCTCTATCATATGCCACAGACTTCTCTCCAAATATAATCAGAGCCTTAAAATAGTTGAGCACTCAGAGAATATATGGTGCAGCAAATAGTACATTTCTAAGCTTTTTTTCTGTTTTTATTCATTCTCTTTCATAAACTTATTAATAAAAAGTTTAGAAAAATTCAGAAATTTCACATCAAAAACTTTTTTGTCCATGAAGGGTGATGGGAGATTGGAATGAGGGGTTTAATAGGACCTTAACCATCGTTCCACAACCAATTTCCCATGATAGTATAACAATACATGTAAATTTATAGATGACCTCATGAAACACTCTTTGCTTGCAGGTAGATGGGTAGAATCTGCTCATTAACAGCGCAAATATCTTCGATTTCTATTCAACAAACTCTAGCATACTGTAGATTTACATTCACATAGCTCACTGTACACTTGCTGTAGATATTTTTTCTGGCAACATATATCATTTCTATGAACCAACAAAAGCATTTTATGTTTTATATCTCTTCAATATACAAATCTCATACATAATTAGTGGATTTCAAAGACTTCAGGCAGCTTGACACTTGATTGGTACTAGCAATCTCTGACTGATGTTATAAGAAATATGAGGATAAGAAATACATGAATAAATAAATATGAGGATGGGGTTAAGACTCACTATATATTCTGAATTGGTTCCCCTCTTTTAGTTCCTTTATACATGTACTCCTCTTATTCCCTTCTCTTCCTCCTCCCTCCAGAGTCCTTCTTTCCTTAGCCCTTCCTTCTTTCTCTACTCCAATCTTCCTTTCTCCCTTCCTTCCTTCCTTCCTTCCTTCCTTCCTTCCTTCCTTCCTTCCTTCCTTCCTTCCTTCCTCACTCCCTTCCTTCCTTCTCCTGCATCTCTTTTATCTATGTGCTGTGATTTGTAACACTGTAAAGTTATACATAAAGACAGAGAAGGCAAAATATCACTTATATACACAGTACATAGAAATGGCATGGCTTTCTAGAGGGTGCAGGGAAGTGTAAAGAGAAAAGATAGATGTTTGACAGCTTCTTAGAAGCAATGTCTAAAAGAATGACAGGATAACTTAAAAAGCAGAAAACAAGCTACTTGATAAGACAGGGCTATCAAAGCACCTGACCACACATGCACACTTACCATTGGTGGGAATTCTTAGTAGTCCGTGCCTGAGCTCCAGGTAGACCAGCTGCCTCAAACTCAGTGTACAGTACCTCAGTCCCTTGGTTCTGTTAACATGAAGAACTAGGGCCACCCAGCCTTCTTAGGAAGTACTTCATGGGAAAGGACTTTTGCTCTGGAGAGAGAAAAGAATTCCTTAGACAGAGATCAACAATTTATAAAGCAATCAGTATATGTAAATTCAATTTTATAGATAATTTATAAAAACATGTATAATTATTGAGCTGGAGCAATAGCAGAGTGGTAAGGTATTCGCCTTGTGTGCAGTTGGCCCGGTCCAGCTGGGTTCGATTCCTCCACCCATCTCGGAGAGCCCGACAAGCTACCAAGAGTGTCTCGCCCACACGGCAAAGCCTGGCAAGCTACCCATGAGGTATTCAATATGCCAAACAGTAACAACAAGTCTCACGATGGAGACGTTACTGGGCCTGCTCGAGCAAATTGATGACCAATGGGAGGACCGTATAATTATTATGTGAGTATTAAATATTTTTTCTGAAAAATATAAAAGTGGTCAAATTTTTATATAATTGTGCAACTAAGTATATAGTAATCACTAAAGATATTTTTTAAATCTCTAGAAGCAAATGATTGGCTATCAGTAAGCATGTGTTCCGTCAACTCTGGTTCTGATATCCTTTATATTGTGCTTAGTTTTCTTTGGTTTCCAAGGAATCGTACTCAAATTTAGTGTGATCATAAATTCAAGTATATAGGTATCTCTACTTAGCTGAAATAAATGTCTTTCTTTAAAACCCTACCTGACTCTAGATCCGATACAACAAAGAAATGATAATTCTATTTTCCTACATGAAGGAATTTTGAGTTTGTCCAAGAATCAATATTTTCCCTAGTAAACTGTGTCAAATAATATGCCAAATATAACTCCACATTCACACACAGTAAGAGCATAATGTTGTAATAAACTGCAACCTGTAGAGGGAGGTTTCCAGAAGGGTGTGCTGGGGGCATCCAAACTGTGGGATACTGCTACTACCACTAGATTCTTTGCTGTCAAACAGATTATAATATTCATTTTAATTTTTATTTTGAGGTAAAAGTGAAAAACCTTCGTTGATTTTTGAGCCATACACAGTGATGCTCAGGGGTTACTACTGGTTCTGCACTCAGAAATTACTCCTGGTAGTGCTTGGGGAATCATATGGGATGCTAGGGATCAAACCAGGGTTTACCATGTATAAAGCAAGTAACCTACCTGCTGTACTATTACTCTGGCCCTTCAATTTCATTTATTTTTTTCTGGTTAATAGACATGAGCACATGGGCTGGAGAGATAGCACAGCAGGTAAGGCATTTGCCTTGCATGCGGCAGACCGAGGTTCAATTCCCAGCATCCCATATGTTCCTCTGAGCACTGCCAGGAGTAACTCCTGAGTGCATAGCCAGGAGTAACCCCTATGCATCGCCAGGTGTGACCCTTCCCCCCCCCCCAAAAAAAAAAACAAAAAATAAAATAGACATGAGCACCAATGTGGCTCTTTTATAAAAGTGCAATTACATCATGCCTACTTTCATCTTCATGACTTCATATCTGAATTCTTTGTCAGAGAGGTCCCTTACGTGAGCAGCACCTAACACCTACATTCGAAGATCAGGTGATACCTGATCCCTTTAAGCTAACAGGTAATGGACTTTAGTAGCAAAGAAAAGAAATTCAACACTAGGCAAACACTCATCTTTTAAGAGATCATGTTATATGTCAAAGAGATGGAGGAAGAAAACCCAGCCTTGGGATAGAGCCCAACCAAACAGATTCCCCATGAGTAGAGGATTCCTGCAGAGCTCTGCACCTGTCATATCTCTGGCCCCCAACATTCATCCTCATGTTTCTGTCACAGGAGAGATAAAGTTTTACCAACAGTGAAAAAGCTGTAAATATACCCTGACTGCAAAGATACTCTGAGTGTAAAGGTACTGTGAGTGACTTGAGCCCAGTATTTTTTCCTTCTCTTTTCTTTGGGAACTGGCCTTTGAAAACTTGTGTTCTGTACTCAATTTCTCTATTTTAGAGTCTGATTCAGTGGCAAGTCCAATCCATGATGGGTCGCCATAGGTGGAGAAAGAAGTCTCAGATGGGGCTGCAAATTGACATTAGGTGAGTATTCATGGTGGCAAACACATCCCTGTTTTCCTCTTGTCAGCTTCTCTAATGTCACCTATTTCACATACACCATCTCACTTACAACCTGAGTTCCAAGTCATTTTATACTCCTTGCAATGCTAGAATCTTTGTCCTAGCACAATCTTCCTGGAAAATACATCTCATTATTTTTCATATCACTCGTCCCTTCTCTTCTTTGAATTCTGATTTTAATGTCTCCACTTAGCTTTCCTGACCAACCTCTTTTCAGAATTGAATATTACAGCCCTGTTTGTTTCCATCTAATTTAGCTCATCAGTTCGTTATATTGCAATTTTCTGACTACCAATACTACCTTTGCAATGAGTAAACTGAAACTGTGGTGTTCATGTGATACTACCTTCCAGTCTATCAAACTCAAGAATATCCCAGTAAAGTGCCCTATTTTGCTGACATATTATGCTAGCATGTATAAATATATGATATTAGTATGAAAGAATACACCTGGACAGGTGAATATTATTTACTAGTATGAACTTAGAAAACTCCGTAGAAAATAGTTTCCTTGAATCAGAGAGTGGCTCAAAGTTGTGAACTTCTGATTTGTATGTAGGAGGTCTAAGTTTGGTCCTGGCACTGCATAGTCCTTAAGCATACAGCCAGGAGAAACCCCTGAGTACCACTGGGTCTGGTCCCTAAAAAACACATAAGTTTCCTAGAAAAAAATAGAATTATTGAGGATTATCAATAAATGCCAGCTCTAGATCATCCAAACTATTTCTAGTAGCTAAATAGAAGTAGAACAGTTCACTACATTCTTTCAAACACAATAGTGTGGGGGGTATACAGCCAACATAACTAAATATTTGGGTCACTCAAAGGAGATAGAACTTATCATTTGCTTTCCACCTAGAGCCAGGTTTCACCACAACCTGACTGTAGTGGTGGTAGCACAAGAAAGACAGGAACCACAGTGGTGTGATGATGTGATGGCCTCAAAATAGAGACCAAATAAATGATCCCCAAAGGTCATACATAGTACGAATTGGTGAATGGTAATTTACATTGCAGGTGATTGTTTTATAATTACACTTCCTGAAAACAGTTTTATCTGAGTATAATGAATTGTATTGTGTCTCTTTGTGTAAATTCTCTAATAGGAAGCCTACCCCTGAAGACTATTTCTGAAAATAGAACCAATCTGAAACTCATCAAGGAACAAACTCACATGAAATCTGAAAGTCTAGTAGCACTTTTACTCTGTGGAGGTCTGGGACCTGTAGCTATCATAGACCCTGTCTTTAGAATGTCCCTGGAAGGAAGTATTCAGGTCCTTAAGTGCAAGAATGGCCCCGAGCACATGGAGCGCTAGACACGATGAAATGCTCGCAGGAGACACTTAGCCACTGACAATCAGGGTGGACGTTTACTTCCAAAGATGGGGACTAACAAAAGATTCACCATACAGGTCGGTTAAGAATTTGCTAGAATATTTTAGATATTATGAATAATGCTGCAATGAACATAGAAGTGCAAATGGTATCTCTGATGAGTGAGTTTGAGACTCCAGAGTATATTTCCGGAAGAGGAATTGCTAGATCGTACGAAAGTTCACTACCTAGCATTCTGAGGAATGCCCATACTGTTTTCCCAAAAAGGGCTGGAGCAGTGGGCATTCTGGCCAGCAATGATTGGGAGTCCTTTTCTCCATAGATTCACTCCAGCACTCATTGCTCTTCTTTTTGATGTGTGCAGACTCTGTATTGTGAGATAACTCATTGTTATTTTGATTTGCATTCTCTGATATTAGCAATCGAGAGCATTTTTGATGTGTCTTTTGGCTACCTGTATCTGTGTATCTCACAGTGATTTAATTGAAATTTAAAAAATAGGAATTTTCTTTCAAAGGAGATGTGTAGATTGATACTTTACTTGAGTTCTGCATTCTGGTGGCATATGGTGTCAGTGGGTTAGATAACTTAAGTGAGGGTTCCTGCTCTGAAGGAAGCAAATTATACACAGGACAATCTGGAAGGTCTTGAAGAGAATCTGTGTAACACCCAAGTAATGTCTAAATTAAAGATCAATCAACAGCTCCTATTTCATAGATGCATATTGATAAACGTTAGTGTGAGCAACAATACATCAGTGCTTTTAGAGAATAGTTATCAAAGTTACAATAATGATCAGATGGGTGTCTATGTTAACATGTAACATACTATAGCATTGTAGCACTGTCCTCCTATTGTTCATTGATTTGCTGGAGCAAGCACCAGTAACGTCTCACAACAAATTGTGAGACTTAATGTTACCATTTTTGGCATATCAAATGCATCACGAGTAGCTTGCCAGGATTTGTCATGTGGGTGAGATAATCTTGGTAGCTTGCTGGGCTCTCAGTTCTGGGTACTGACTAAGTCAGATCTAAGGCATCTTAGTCAGTACCCAGAACTGAGAGGGGCGGAGGAATCAAACCTGGGTGGGCTGTGTTCAAGGCAAACGTCCTACCCTCTGTGCTATACTATATATTAAGCAAATATAAAAATAAAAGTAAAGGCCCTCCCGTTGATCGTCGATTTTCTCGAGCGGGCCCAGTAACATCTCCATTGCAGACATTGTTGTTACTGTGTCTGGCATATCGAATACTCTCGGTAGCTTGCCGGGCTCTCCGAGAGGGGCGGAGGAATCGAACTTGGGTCGGCCATCTTGGCCGCTTGTAAGGCGAACGCCCTACCACTGTACTATCGCTCCAGTCCAAGCAAATATAGAAAATATAAATATTGTAAATTAAAATATACTGCATATTTAAACTCACAAAATATAAATAAAATGTAGAATTTATGCATATACTTGTAAACTTGATCACTTGATCACCTGACTTCCCATTAATCATTGATTTGCTCGAGCGGGCGCCAGTAACATTCCCATTTTTCCCTGTTGCGTGCTAGTGTAGCCCAATG